ACCTCGGATTTAGCAAAAATTTATGAAAATGCCACTGGCGGCGCGTGTGCTCACGCGCGGTTACTGTTGATGGCGGCGGAATTTTCCGGTGAGATGCCGCCCAAAAGATGGTTGATTCTTGTAGATCTGAGGATGAGGATTCTGATGGTGGTGGTCTAGTTGGCCGTTGATGGCTGAGGAGGGAGAATCGACGAGTTGAAGGTCGATTGGCCGATGACGGTCGCGGCCTTGTTCCGGCCAACATCGCTGGTGAAAAGTTGTAAAACGAACGGGGTTTTGCTTCAGAGGAGGCGATGCACGTTTCTGTGGTGGTTTTGCTGCTTGAATCGGCCGGAAATGGTAGATCGGTGGAGAGAGAGAGAATCGCCGGCGAGAGGAGAGAGAAGCTCTAGGTTGGGCTACGTCTGAAAGCTGTGAACCGTTAGATCTCGGATGAACAGATCGTGCGGCTGTGATTCGTTTGATCTTCAAGTTGATCGGCGGTCAGGATTGAATGGGCTACGATCGGGTGTGGCGCGGTACACCGAGTTCTTGGTACACCTGCTGACGTGGCGCAACCAGATCGAAGGACAGATTATTTGAAAGGCTGAGATTGATTTGGGTTTTAATCTGGTGTGGTAAAGCCTATTGTATCCTAAGAAATTAAAGGCTCAGACCTAAATACTATTAGATCTAACGGTTGGGATATTTTTGGTATTGTTTAATTTATTAAAAAAAAAATTAATATCTATAAGGAAAATGAATAGTATCCAAACAGTAACCCCTAATACGTGAATTGAGAATTGAGAATTTGATTCAGAATGAATTTTTTAATCCCCTCCCCTCCCCTGTGTCTTGAATTCAGACAACAATTTACGGATTGTTAAGTATATAATAAATTGAACGATTTGATAAAATAAAATTGTAGAAGTTGATAGCAATGAGCTCAATGCTATGTATCAACTTTGTTCTGGAAAAACAATCAATATCTAGCTGGGATTAAACAAGTCTCTCCCATCGCAAAGCCAAAATAATCTTCAATACTGGCAACATTTACGAAAGCCAACCATACATTTTTAAATGCAATATCATGTATTAAAATGAATGACGCTTTAATATAACGAGAAAGAAAATTATTGGTTTGATACAATGAAACTTGCTTTTCCTTTGTGAACAATTGTGATGGTGGTGCTCAGCAATGAGCTCACTGTTTCTTTGCAGGGGACCATTAATTTGAACATTAATTTTTTCTTAAACCCTATTCGGCCAGTTAACTTTATGTTAGTGTGGTGTCATCCTTTTTTTCATTACTTTTTCAATGGTTTGTTTAATTTCTTTTTTTTATATATATAAAACTAGGACCAGATTCAACCCCTCCTACTCTAATATAACGTGTTTGACGTGGGACTCATATATGCCATGTATTTTGGATAATTGTTAGTGATATCACAGATGTACGTATTGTATTGGACGGTGAAAAGAGTTAGCCATCTAATTGTCTGATTTAGAATGATTTAGAAAGGTTAAAAAATCCAAGTGTACTGGAGGTATTATTACCTTTCATGTATCTTAGTTGAGGTAGCATTCTTAACACGTACTGTATTACTTGATTCAAATATGATTTAAGATTTTGATGAGTTTGTAAATATAATTTTGATCATTTAAAATTAAAAAAACACACATATATAAATATATAATTTTATTAATTATATAACTGAATATAATCTTTATGTAATATATTTAAAAAAAAAAACATGATAATCCTTTGATTTTTTACTTGAATTTGATATGTAATGATTTGATTTATTTGAGTAATCAAGTCAAAATTTATACTTTACAACGTGAATTTGAATATGTATTGTGAAGTGAGATATAATTATCTGATATTTTGAAGAATTTTTATAGGATGTTTAAACTTAATCTAATAGAGTTTCGTTCTTTATAGACTTCAAGCTAGGAGGCTTGAGAACTTTTGAGAGAGCTTTCTTATTTGAATTGAGACAAAGAGAGAGAGATTTCTTATTTTAAAAGCTTGTTTTGAAGGAAATTTGTATTTTTAAGAATCCTTTTTTTCTCTAGGTTGAGACCCGCTATTTATAGAAATCTGTAGGGGCTCTCAAATCCCTTTCCAATGCTACATTACATAATTTTATTATTTTATTGGTTATATTTATTGACGGGATCTTGTATTTATGATAAGATATCTTTAATATCTCATCCCAAATGTCAACCTTTCATTGACCAAGAAATATATAAAGGTTCATTTATTTTCCATGTTATATATTTTAATTTTATTTTATTTTTTTAAAATAAAGTAATACATGATAAAACTTGATTGATAGAAAATTTATGTTTCTAGGGATACTACTTCAAGACAAGTTCACTTACTTTTGAAACAAGTGGGTATGTCTCGAAAAATATGATTCAAAAAATTTTATTTTTTTAATTAAAATTTAATTAATCATATTAGATTTTCATAATAAATAAATAAATTTTATTATAAAAATAAAATAAATAGTTAAAATTAAGAATTTATGAACTAATTTTGATTAAAATTTATCAAATCAAATGATAGAATATCCGAAATTAATACCTCATTTGAAATCGTTGCATATTGAAGATCAAACAAAATTTATTTTAATACCCGAATAACAACAACACTTTGTCCAAACCGTAGGAATTTGTTTTATCAGAAATCGTCAATGTAACATCTTGTTTTGAATATCTCATTATTTTGAATTCAACAACACAATCCTTTCATAATTCCAGCTGGCAGTTAATGAGCCATGAAATGTTAAAGATTTTGAGTCCTTTTCTCTTCTTTCTCTTGACATGTGTGGACTCATATTGGTTGATGAATTATTTTCTTCATTCCCAATCAAATGTCCTTTCCTACATAATTCCTTGTGTTGTTAACCAATTGAGAGCAAAGACTAATTATTATAGGAATCTGCCAGAAGCAACAAATCGTGCGCACAGGTTAGGAAATATTGTTTGCCTTTTTAACAGTATAGGAAATTTGTTGTTTCCTTCTTCTTTTTTTTTGGCGTTAACATGTGCATCCTTTGTTTCCTGAATGAATTGCCGAGAGAGGGTAAACGAATAAGTGCAGAACCTAACATGAATTATTGCTTCTTTTTTTTTTTAATGGCTTGAATAGGAAAGATTTGCAGAACTGAATAGGAATGATTGCTCTTGTTTCAGAAGAAGAAAAGCAACTAGCACAGCCGATCTTTCTATTACAGAATAAGAGGTTTTTTTTTTTTTTTTTCTTCTTTTGTAATGAGGCAACGGTCTATAGCGTGGCTATAAAAGGGCACTACATTGTCTTTCTTTTTTTTACACCAACTTAGCAGTCCTTCTACTCCATCATTGACTGTGTAGCATCCACCTAGCAGCCCAGCATCACCGATGGTCTTAGCAGGTATGCATAGATCTTCAGTATTTGTTTTATAAATCTTCAGTATTTGTTTTATAATTACAAGTGTTTTTTTTTTATATGTATGCAAGACACAATTCTTAGTTTGTGCAGTTGAAATAAACTTTAAACTCCTAACCAAAGCTCATGATGATAGTACTTTAAACTCCTCTCTTTTATAAATACATTTGCATCGTCTTCCTATTTTTGACCGCATGGAGAAAAGTGAAATGATGCATGGCCTAGAATAAAGAAGAAAGGCAGAGAAATAGAGACCATTAGTGGAAGAGAAGACAGGGACGTAGCCACCCAAGGAGCGGGAAAGAATCCTACAGAGAGGTTTCGCAGTTTTGAGGAGTGGATTTATATCAACTTAGTTTGACTTGGCTTTGGTGGGGGTAATGAAGAAG